GCGTGTTCTCGTCGTCGTCGTCGTCGTTGTCGTTGAGATTGACGGTGAGTGACATTGAGATAGTTGGGATGAAGAAAAGAGTATCCTAGATTGGATACGTTGGTTTTGTGTTGTCACATTAAAACGTCTTTCGAATGGTCAGTTCGACTGAAAGAAGAATTATTATTATTATTATTTGTGCGTGGGATCATCTTATCCCTTTGCGCATATTAACTTAAACAATCAAAATAATAATAAGAAGAAGAAAAAATGATAAAAATAGAAAGAAAAATAGAAAAATAATGTGTGTGCATAGAGAAAAAGTATAGAAAGAGAAAGAGATGGAATATCTGGCTGAGCAAGCGAACACAACCGAACGAGCGGTCTGCTTGAACGAGAACCACCGTTATGAAGACGCGTGCAATCCAACCGGCTCGCTCGAAACATTTCTGGAATGTATTGTACGCGTTCTGCCACTTCTGCGGCTTCGTTTCTACTCGTGTGTAATGAGAAAGAGAGAGAGAAAGAAAGAGAGAAAGAGAGGAAGAGAAGGTAAAAAGAATATTATGATGGTGGAAGTGAAAGAGGAAGAAGAAAATAACATAGGTAGAAACTTTTCCGTTGTACTTTTCTACTTGAATAAGATTCGATCAAATTCTTATATATATAATAACATTATAATATATTATATATCAATACACTATACTCTATTCGTGATGGTGTTTTATTTCTAACGTCTACGTTCCGTGTCACATATTTATTATAGTAGTCAGTGTATGTATCTGTAGTTTTGTAGTGTGTAAGCTTAATCAGCGTTTTAACAACGTGTTGTCTGACGAATCTAAAACACACGAGGCAGGTAGGCAGGTAGGCAGGTAGGTAGGTAGGTAGGTAGGTAGGCACTCTGTCTATTCTCTACTACTTGTCGCCCACGATTAATCCTTCCGCATGCGGGACCACCCGTTTCGAGTTCGACACGCTTTCGCCTAAGTCTAATGAATCCTAGAATTCATTGCTATTCCGTCTATTTCTCTCTCTTTTTATTTCTCTATCATTCTCTTGTGTTAGAATATTTATTAGCTCGATATATACACACGAGAGGATAATATACAAATACATTTTTGTATAGAAATAAAATAATAATATTCACATAAGTCTCACAGGGGAAATATTACAGTAGTATTTGATTACGTGTGATAATATAAATGTGTTTAGGAAGATATTGTATTGTCAAATGTTAACACATTGTGTACGAGTCACAAGATATCTCGTTTTTATGCACTCAAACGTTGCGTACGGGTCACAAGATATCTCATTTTTATGCACTCAAACGTTGCGTACGGGTCACGAGATATCTCGTTCTCATGTTTTATTTCGAATCAATCGTTAACGTAAACAAGCAACAACGGCAAATAGATTGTTGCAGGATAACAAAACCTCTCCCATGCTTAAGAATAATATATGTGAATATAATAGTAAAACAAATTAGAATTGTATGTATCCGCTTTAGATTGCTTGCCAAGAAGCATGCTGCTACAGCGTTCGGAAATGTGCGGGTTTTTGAGCGCCGTACGCAATGTGTTAAGTATAGTTGAAATGTATGACTCTGAAAAAAAAAGATAAAATGTATATTGACTCGTGAACAGTAACGATCGAGTTGCTGATGAAATCCCAAGAAAGGGACGAAAACGTACAACTTGTTCGAAATAAATCGTTCGTAAAGATTTAATAACCGTCCAAAATTCCCTTTGAGAGACTTATGTGAATATTATATAATTCTGGACAAGAGTATCGATAAATTAAATTAAAATAATAATATTATCATACACATGATAGATAGATAGATATATATAAAGGAAAGTGTATTTATTTATCTTCGATAATAAATTCTTCTTTATTGACAGTTTTGATGGACGTTAAGATTACAGAATGATTTTGAAAATAACATCCGTAACTAAATGCATCCTATTGTCTTTGTAACATTACGACGTTAGGCACGGACGTCTCGGTTCGATTTCACGCTACTTTCAGCAACAAGACAACAAAACCTTTCTCGATTGAACGACGATGATCATCGTCGTTGCGCTCGAATAAACGTCCAATGAAAACTCTTTCATGAATGTGTTTAAAACATTATTCATTATGTAATAAATAATCTGAGTAATTGATTTTTTTTTTGTTTCATTCGATATTATTATTATTATTCGACTTCTTTATAACAGTCCAATCACAATTCATTTATAATCATCGGCTTCTAGAATAATTACGTTTAGATTAATGATGTGTGTATATGATGGTGATGGTATCGAGATAGTTTTGTATTTTGTATTTTTCAATAGTCCTATGGTATAAATTCTTATAGATATATACCCCATTATAATTAACGTCACCAAGCCTGTTCTCATTCGTTTCGATCATTCACGGTCCGTTGAAAAGCTATCGTAAAGTCAAAGAGAAACTGTACCGTTCAAACTCTGTGTTTTCTTTTTCTATTATATATATCTTTCTCTTTCTTCCTTTCAACTATGACTTCACGTAGTCGTTAACCTCTCTCTCTCTCTCTCTCTCTCTCTATCTTTCTCTTTCTCATTCTCTTCGTGTAGGAAGAGTTAACAACATCCTATCCCCCTTTACTATCTTACATTTTCTGCTTCATCTCCCTTAGAAGAGAAGGAGACTTACGAAGTGTTTAGTCCGTTCTACTTGTTACTTTGTTCCGAGTAAACAAAGTACCATGCAGAATACGTTTTACTCTATCTACAACACGCGATACATAGTACGACGTACATATATATATGTTTTTGTTTGCTTTGCAACGTTTTGATTGCTCTTGCACTATCGCGAACTAGTTTAGAATTTAAATCCAAGATTATAAACAGGTTCTTGATAACAATCTTATATTATATATCATATCTAATTAAATATCATATGATAATTATACCTAAATTATGACAATCTTGATTCCTTTTCTTTTCCCTATCGATAGAAATTAATTATTATTATATTAGAATGTGTGTGAAAATATAAAAAATGGTTTCATTGAAAATAATATAGAAAAAAGGATCGATATTTCTTCTTATTCTCGTCATCGGATCACACACGGAAAGTCTTTGAGCTCTGTCAATGGGAACGATGAAGCAACGATGCGTTTAATCTGACAAAAACGTGCCGAACCTAACGAGCCTTGAACAGGCTTGAAATCGTATCGACTTATATCCAAGACGATATTTCTTCTTAAAGATTCTCTAAACTTTTACCATCGTTTTTTTTTTTTGTTTTTTTTTTTTTTTTTTTTTTTTTATTTTACCCCCCCATTCATCATTTCATTGACTATACGAGACTTTGTTATGATTTGCAATAAAAATCATTTGCCAATGGTCAATTTACTTTCTTATTGAGATCTTTGTTTGTTTTGTTTTTTATGGTGGGGTTTTCTTTAAACTATATTTTCTTTTACTATTTTAATATAGATGTTAGACACAAGTTATAGCTAATAGAAAAAGAAATATAATATCTTTGGTAATAAAACATCGGTCTAATTTTATTTATCATATATTTTTCTTTCTCGTTCGCACGTTTTAATCATCATCGAGGATAATCGTGTTGCAATGAGTTTATTACGAGAAAAATGATCGTGTGCTAGAAACAAACGTATGAACCTTCTCTCGAAATAATTTCTTTTTATCTTTTATACAGAAATTAAATACCAAACACGTTTTGATAGTTCTTCTTTTTTTGACCCAATCACACGTTTTGAAACGATAGAAAATTAGTCGATCCTTTTTTTTACGAGCAAGTCTTACCGTTAGAACGATCAGTTAATTCGTACGAAGCAAGCAACCCAACCAACCAACCAACCAGCAAGCAAGCTAGCAAACAAATGTGTTGGCTCGCGACACTCGTAATTCCATTGTCTTTAGAAAAGAATAACTCGTATTTCCGGAAGAGTTATATTGTATGGTAATTCACTTGAAGTTGAAATGGAAAGGTGGTAATATCAATAAACGCACGACGTGCATCGTCGATTTTTGTAATCGAGTACTCGAAGAAAATCATTTCCAAACGCGTGAGAATGTACAAGCAAATTCTTTCCATAATGTATTTTCATTTTCATACGGTAAATTATAATGTAACATTTTTTCGTTCGTTCATTCGTTCATTCATTCGCCATTAATTTATGATTACATTCATTCTAAGTAAAACAAAAACCCATTCCGACCACTTTTCCTTCCTTCCTTCCCTTCTGAAATAATCATTCCAACGATATATACAATAATACATACATGTTCTAATTAAATAACTTCAGGAATGAACTTTTCCGGATGTTTTAAAACGAATATGAATAAGATAAATTCGAATTGTGTATACGTCATAACTTTTCAGTAATGTATTATTCAATGGTGAAATTTTCGTTTAAACAATGGATCATTTAAATGTTCGTTAAATAAATATTTATAAAAATATGAATAGAAATACACATTCCTAATTTTTTTTTGTCCCTCCACCATACACAGTCAGACCAAAAGAAATATATATTTTAAACTCGACGAATCATCAATGAGAAACTTACGATCCCATAGAAACACGTCGTTTATGTTTGTATAAACGTCGGATAATGTATCCTGATCGTAAATACACATATGTATTAAAACCATAATCATGATTTCTCTTGCCAACGTCAATTTTGCGCTCCAAACCTCGTTGGGATTCGAACCGCGACCTGCCGGACGGTGTTCAGTTAATTTGCTCGCCAGACCATGCTGCTCGGATAAATTAAAATAGATCCGGCTAGGAAAGTGTTCCTTTACGATCGTTGTCCTGGTCTTTTCTCGTTTCGTTTGGTCTCCTCTCTCCTCTCCTCACCTCTCGTCTCCTCTCGTTTCGTTTCGTTTCGTTTCGTTTCGTTTCGTTTGGTTTTATTATACCCTATCGATCAAACACAAAAAAAGAATAAAAAAATTAATAAACAAAATCATATGTGAATAGAAATCAACATTGTGATATACTTTTATCTATTTCAGGGAAGCGTGTTTCATCGTGAGAGGCTGGGACCTCCAGGATGCCAGGGGTGTGGAAGTTGCTACGCATGCTGATCTATATGGTAAATTAAATCGTTCATTTACAGATCCTAAAAGTTAGATACTTAATATCATAAATTTGAACAATCTTTGATAGACATTTATTTATTTAGTTATTTGGATTTTATTTTAAGGGATAAATCCATTAATATAGAAATTTATAAAAAGGGTTATGGGTTAAAAATAGATATAATTACAGATTATTTAAACAATGTTTGATAGATGATAAATATAGACTGATTAAATAAATTTACATATATATATATAATATCTTATTAATATTTTATATTTATATGATTTTATTTTATTTTATATTTTATATGATTTTATATTATGACGATGACAACATCGATAATTACGATAATTTACATATTAAATTCTCTTTTAACGCGAGATCATTTATCTATTTCATCGCGTTATAATTATTAATTTTATTATTATCATAGAATAAAAATATACACCGTCAATTGTAATCAAATTATTTCTAACGTTTAGATAAAATCGTTAAAATAATAGGAGAGAGATTATTACGGAGCATCACTTTCTTCTCCCCCCGTCCCCACCCCGTCTTACTTAAGATTATTATCTTGACTTAAATAAAAAGTTAAGTACGTCGATAGTAGTATCAAGTATCGATCCCTGGTTGTACGATACATGTTTCGATAATACGGTACAAGACATCGCGGCTCGTTCAAACTTTGATCATTCACCGAACTTATCTAAACACTCTCTCTCTCTCTCTCTCTCTATATATATATATATATCTTTCTATCTCTTTCTATCTCGTTCTCTCCTTCTCTCTATCAGTCTTTACTCGATGAGTTATATTAGAATCGAGTTAGACGTGGGAATCTTTATGGTAATCTTTATTCCTCATCTATCCTACCTAGCGGTTTCTTTTGTCCATCAATTAGATCCTATGAAGGAATAGCAAGCAACATTAGAAACGAGTAATTCCGATAATGGACTATAGTAATTCTCTAACGCGATCCTTTAATTAAAGAATAACGGTTCGTGAGATATACGAGGAGGATTTTGTCGAATCTAATAATGATCCTCGAAAAACTTATAACCTTGGTACCGGTTTAAAAGAAGTATAATAAAAAAAAAAAGTACGAATGTGTAATTTGGAGAAGATGAAAAAAAAAAAAGTAAAAAGAAGAAGAACGGAAGAACAGTAGGAAATAAAAAAAAAAAAAAAACGAATGAAGAAAATAAAATCTAGTCTCGAAAAAGCGGATCAAAGAGAAACTCTCATGATAACTCGATGACAATGCGATGACGACGCAAGAATCGCAACAGCTTGCAAGCGGATATTGGTGTCTACTCTAAGTACCGTTAGGTGAACATCCAAAGATCTCACCACCATCACCACCACCACCATTACTACCATCAACATCAGCATCGACATCGTCACCCTAAGATCGTCCTCGTTCACTAACACCATCATCCATTTACATTATTCAAGAGTACTGCACCACTGTTAGGTGCCTGCTATCGATGGTGTCTGGACACTCAGATCTCTTATTGCGTTTTCGCATTGGGAAACGTGGCTTCACGTCATGGATTTCACGTTTTCTTCTTCTTCTTCTTCTTCTTCTTCTTCTTCTTCTTCCTCCACCACCACCAGCACTACCACCTTCTTCTTCTATTTCCCTTTTATCCTCTATTTCTTTCTATGTCTATTGCCTTAACTCGACTTCAGATATCTCGGGAATAGATCTCAACTTAGAACGGGGAATCACGATGCCAGAGTGAACTCGATAAAAACGATTGACTGGACTGTATATTTGTATAAGTGTGATGTACGTGAGTATGTCTGTTACTATATAACAAATACGTGTGGGGTTACCAGCTTGAGATCTAAAGCCGTTATTATCATGGATAATCTTTGATTATTTTCGAAATATATTATATATCGAAAATTGATTCAGCGTGACGACAATTAGGGTTTGTTACTTTTTTATAATATTTCTCTTTTTTTTATTTTTTTTTTATTTTTGTTTAATAGAAAACAATAGGAAATCACATCACCCTATGTGACTTGGCGAATCGAACTTGAATAAAAATCGGATACGCTTGTTCTCTTTGACTAGTTCGTAGAGGATATTTCACACAGTAAAAAATATACAAAGAAAAATAAAGGAAAATAAAAACAAGAAAAAAAAGGGTTAAAAGTGAGAGATAGAATGAACGAAAGGGTTGCTGATCGAGTTTAGTGGGCGAGCCAATAAACAGAAACTATTTCCGCGTGTCAGATGGGAACACAATCGAATGGGCAGTTACGGGCATTTGTATTCAAAAAGCCGGGGGAAATATATCCAGAATGAGCTGGCTAGCTAGCTAGCTGGCTAGCTGACTACCAGCATGCTTGGTTCAGTCGAATAATTCGGAATACTGATACATTCGTGGTTTTAACGAACTGCCGTTGAGGAATCGTAAAGAGCCTACCCCTATGAGAAGAAACACTTCCGCTTTTAAAGTATACATGATAAATATCATTTATCTCCTTATACTCTTAGATTACATAAAAAAATTGTATAATGCAACCATAAATTATTTCTTATCCGTTCTCGTATCAATGAAATCGTTGAAATTGTTTGAACGATTGAAAACGTATTTCATAATCCGATCTTTAAATTCTTTTCTTGTTAAAAAAGCCATAAAATTGCAGACAATAAAATAACCCTATGTTGTATGAAAAAATTTGATTGCTTTTCGAATGAAATAAAATTCATATTATATCTCTATTAATAATTGAATATCACGTAATGTGTAATAAACATAAGAAAAATAAAAAAAAAAAATACGAGTAATAATAGTTTAATTACATTCGTAACATTTGTTGAATATTGTAACTATATAAAAATATAAAAAAATATAATATAATAATATAAAAAATAAAATAATATAATAAAAATATATAAAAAAATATAATATATAAAATATATATAATAATATTAACAACTACTTTACGTAAATAAAACAAAATATAAAACCCCTTATACGTGTGCTACAACTATTGCAATAATTAAAAATGTCCCATAGTTGCATTACAGTGCATCAAAAAAGGTGAGGAAACTTTTAATCCTACCGTACCCCACCTTACCCAAAGAATTAAAAAAGAGAACTGAGGGGGGGGGKGGAAGGAAGGAAGGATTGTAAGATGATCCTGAAACGATCTTCTCTCAACGAGTTAGCAAAAAGATTCAGGTTTCTGATATAGAAAGAGATAAACGACGAGCACGAGCTAACTGATAGCTAAAGCATGGTGGTGATGCTGGTGGTGGTGGTGGTGGTAGACGGTCCGCCAGGTGCGTAATCATTTCTAATGAAACGTTGTCATTTAACAGTGCGATTGTAAGAGCTCAGAAACTTGTTTTCACTTGTGCGAAAAACAGCGACCGTTAATGCAGCGGTAAAGACGCCTCTCCCGTTACAGCATTGCGCGAGCATGGAATACATGGGGAACACCTTCCATCGTTTCAGCCTCGTTTACGTACGTGTCGCGGATTTTCTCTCTCTCTCTCTCTCTCTCTCTCTCTCTCTCTTTCTCTTTCTTTTTCTTTTTCTCTTTATCCCCATATCTCTCTTTCTTTCTTTATTTATCTTTATTGAGCTAACCACGTTCGAAGTAATACGACAGGATAGACTTACATGAACATACGACACAACGGAACGGAACGGAACGTCATTTCTAGAAACGTTCAGATGAGAGACGGACACGCCTAATCTTTCGTGACCTACCTCGTAATCTTCTACCTAGTCGTGATCTTCTCTCTTTCTTTCTCTCATGTGTGTGTGTGTTTCCAGTCACGATGGCCTTCGACATAAGATTACCGGATTTTCATCTCTCTTCAAGTTGTTCCGTATAACTAACTGCTCTGCTCGTAAAGTTTCATAAATAACATTTGAAAAATCTTGAACATATTTAATATCTGTATAACATCCTTAACGTGACGAATTGAAAGTAATTGAATATATATATATATATAAAGGGTGTCACACACATAACTCTAGTCACAATTTTTCAAGTACTTAAGATAATCTGACAATAAAATACTTTAAACTAAAGTTGATCTGTTTTTGATTGACTATACATGGCAATATAAAAATGATCGGAAAAAATTTCTTTTTTATTGTTTTTTAAGGCTACCTTTATTTTTTTTAAATAGCACCTAGTATTTTTGACTTAACAATACATTTTCTACAAGTTAACATTAAACTGCGATTTGTTCCCATGAATATACTTTTCATATTTTTTATATTTATAGCAAGCGGATTTTAATGATTTTCATATTAAATTAAAGTACACACTTTTATCTACGCATAGAATACCATATCGAGTTATAAATTAAGCATGTAAAATTCAGAAAATGTTAGATAATGCAATGCTGTAAATTGTGCATCTTTGCAATTTTTTTTGAAAAGTTTCGGTTAATATTTTTTATACTTTTAGAAAGCGGATTTTAATAATTTTTATATTAAATTAAAGAACACTCTTTTGTCTACGCGCAGAGTATCTTTTTGCGTTATAAAACACTCTGCAAAGGTTCAGGAAATGTCAGAGAACGCAATGCTGCAAATTGTGCATCTTTGCAATCTTTTTTGAAAAGTTTCGGTTAATATTTTTTATATTTTTAGGAAGCGGATTTTAATAATTTTTATATTAAATTAAAGAACACTCTTTTATCTACGCGTAGAGTATCTTTTTGCGTTATAAATCAATCTGGAAAGGTTCATAAAATAGCAAAGAATGCGATGCTGCAATTTTTTTCCTACTTTGCCATTTCTTTGAAAAGTTTCGGCAA